AATGAAACGGAATACATTAAAAAGAGACATTGTAATGTAACACCATGCATACACACCAAACATCATGTTTTTAGATTTTGGGAAACATCCTTATAAAGAACATTCACCATCTTAGTGAACAAATTTGTATCTTTTCTCATTATCGATCTATGATATTACAATGTACAATTGACTATTATTGAAACATAACTCTCAAGGTATTAAAAAATATATTATCTATTCTTCAACTTCATATATACTAAAGATAGTCATACTAATATTACAATAAATATTAATGAATAATTTGGAACCTGATATAATTTTCATTTTTAGTTCTACGAGTATCGCTTCAACTTCACAATTAATATACCCCTCCGTCCCGCAATGAAGTTCCTGGTTTGACCTACACACATATTTATGTAAAGTAGAGTTTTATTTTGACTTTTCAAGTTTACCCTTACTTTATGACAAATAAAACAAAAAGTGGATAAAAAGTAAGGTAGTTGTGACTTTTGGGATAAAAGTGGTTTCCTTTTATAGAAATGAGAACTTCTTTTTGGGACATCCATAAAAGGAAAGTGAGAACTTGTTTACGGGACGAAGGTGGTATGTCTTTGACTTTGATCACGTTTAGTACAAGACTATTGTTTTACGGAGTAATAAATTATGAGAGGCATGTTCAATTATATTTTGATTGAAATTATTCATTCGACATCCATAATATAAAGTAATCGTATTAAGATTAATTTAGAGTGAAATCTCACTTCTTAATAAGTATTGCTAAAATTTATCACTGTAAGATTAAGATTAATTTTATGGCTCCTCTATTGAGTAGGAAGTAAAACTACGGGAGTAATAAATTTGCAAAATGAATCAGGCGTGGTTTTATTATTAGTTTTTGCTTTATATAGGTCTAAATGAGTTTGTGTAACAGATCCGACCTTAGCTCAGTTGGCAGAGCGGAGGACTGTAGTCGGTCAAAAGCCACAGATAATCCTTAGGTCGCTGGTTCGAATCCGGCAGGTCGGACCTTTTTGGAATAATCACAGTAAAGTTTTACGTTTTGTTTAAACAGGTACTTCTATCATAGAAGTTCTATGCGTAATATGATTACTCCGTATATTGCTGCAGTACCGAAGTGCATTTTATCCTCACAAAATTGGCAGTGGTAGTTTAGCTGTTCAGAAATTCCCAAAATATGAGTTTTTAGTGAATGAACAAAAGTATCCTTGTAGGCATTAGCTACCCAGCCAGCCGCCACTGACATCCAGATTCCCGCCAACGTTGCTGCCGCTGGTTGCCGGATCCAACGGTTGAAAAACATATTTCAAATCCCCCCAGTCCACCTACCACCATTGGACTACCCGCAACCAACACACTGACGTCAAATAACAAATTCTAAAATTCCCCCGATCCACCTACCAACCAACAAACCTACCTCCTGGTCACTTAAGGGAACTAGGAGTTTTTTTTTTCAAAATAATGTTAAATAAAAAAGGGAAAACTGTTAGTTTGGTTCTCGTACTTTTATGAAAAAAATCAATTAGGTTCTCGTATTTTTAAAAAAATCAATCAAGTCCCCAGACTTTGTAAAAACGTTCAATTGAGTACACATGGTGGTCCACGTGTGCACCACGTCATCAACAAATGACTGACTAGACGTTCACATGTGTGTCACGTCAGCAAATTATTGATGATTGGGCTGCCACATGTGCACCACGTAAACGGGTGACCTACTGACATGACAAGTAACCTGCAAATGTACTTAATTGAACGTTTTTACAAAGTTCAGAGACTTAATTGATCCTTTTAAAAGTAGGAGAACCTAATTAACTTTTTCATGAAAGTACGAGGACCAAATTGACAATTTTCTCAATAAAAAAGTATTTACGAAATTAGGATGGTGTTAAAACTTTTTACCAAAATACTGCTAGATTAACCAGGTTTGGCAAAATCGTCAAACCAATTGGCGACTTTCAAAATATGATACATTCACCTAGACTTTCAAAACGCCAAACAATTTGGCGACTTCCTCTCAATGATACGGCCGCAAGCAAATGTTACTAGTTTAAGATACGTATTACGAAGTATATTGTTAGTGGGACCCAAGAATAAAAAAACCCCATTTTTCGTATTTGCTCCAATTTTTATCAAAAATATATCAAAATTCATAATTTTTTACGATATTTCAAATGACACCAATATTGCATATAAAAAAAATTAAAATATTGAGGATTTATTTAATAACTTTCTTGTTTTCCAAACTCAATACTGGAGATTTTGTATCATGATTTTATTATATTTTTCCTTAATTGTGTTGCAGTATTCATGCATATAAAAAACTTAAAGACAAAAATGTAAGCCTCCTAAACTTTTCCTAGAATTTAGTATGCCGTTTCTTATATTTTTCATCAACATTGCATGTGAACTTGTCGCTTCAAAAAAAAATTATGAGCGGCCGAGTAACAAAATAATAAACAAATAATTTCTAATGTATGATCAAAATAATACGAGTAATAGTTTAACAAAATTGCGACTTATGAATTTTTAGTGACTATAATTAGGTATAAATTTTATATTAAATTGAATATGAACGTGTACTCATAGTCAATTTTGACACATTTTTATCCATAATATCTATTTTAGTAATAATTTAGAGAAAACCTCTCAAGTGAATATAGTTAGTTAGTGTTTCTCTTTTATTTAAGCGGTTTTCCCTAAAACCTTACTAAAATAAACATTGTGGACGAAGTTTGACTAAATTGACTATGAGTACACTTTTATTAGCGTTGGGTTTGGTTTGGAACGGTCCGGTTAATTAGTAAAACCTGCAATGTAACTGTGAAATTTCTAATGGTTCCGTACTGTCATGTTCTAAAGTTGGAGCCATTCGGTACTACATCATTTTGAGACGGCACAAAATAGTACGGAGTACAATACAATGGCAAACTAATGTTACTCCCTCCATCCCTTGCAACTTTGCCATTTTTCCTTTTTGGGACGTCCCAAAAAACTTTGTCATTTTCCCTTTTCATCAATTATTTGGTGGTTTCTGTTATTTCTCTCTCCTCTGAACAAACCTCAACCACACAGTTTTTACTTTATTATTCTCCGTGTCGGTCAACTTTGGTAAAGTTGTAAGGAACGGAGGTAGTATTTTTTTCGGAAAAAAATTGTCTTTAAGTTTTTTAAATACATTAATACTGCAACACAATTAAGGAAAGATACAGTAAAATTATGATTCACAAGAAATTATGTCTTTAATTAATAAAAAATCTTTAGTATCGGGGTTGGAAAACAGGAAAGTTGTTAAATAAATCTTCAATATTTTTTTAAAATTTTATATATGCATTATTGGTGTCATTTGAAAGATCATAAACAGTTATGAATTTTGATATGCTTTTTGTAAAAATTAGAGCAAATATGAAAACAATATACTTCTTTAAAGAAAATTGGGGGTTGTTTATTCTTGGGTCCCACTAACAATATACGGAGTAATACGTATCGAACAAATCGTTTAAAGTCGCCGAATCATTTGGCGTTTTGAAAGTCATCAATTGGTTTGGCGATTGTGCTAACTCTGATTAATTGAGCAGTATTTTGGTAAATAGTTTTAACCCGATCCTAATTTCGTAAATACTTTTTTATTTAACATTATTTTGGAAAAAACTCGGGAACTAGAGGCAATTAATTAATTAGATGTAGAAAATTAATGTTTACTCCTATTTAAAAAAGATTAGAGGTGATTTGGGGAAAAGTGTTGTGTTTTACTCCTAGACAGTGGCGGAGCCAGAAAAACGTCTCAGGGAGGTCAAAACTCAAGCTATATACAGAATGAAAATGGTGGATCGTTTTTAAACAATGTTGGAGTTGAATATTTCATATGCAGTTTAGATAAAAATGTGAAATAATGGGAAATGGGTACTCCAATAGGAGTCCTGACAGATATATTTATAACAGAAGAGTTGCTTAAATACAAAGTATTCCTAAATAGATATTAGGAAGATTCAAAGATATATATTAGGCAGATTCCTAAAAATATATTAGGCTATTAAAATAGGCACTCGTGGCCATAAGATAGATTGTCTTTGCTTTGTTTCTCATTCGTGTCACGTAAGTATTGAGTGAATTATACCCTATTTTTAAAATTTGGGAAAATAATTTACAGTATGCATCAAATTTTGCTGATTTTTCGTTTAGATAGTGCTGATTTTTCAGAAGTCACTACTTTTTACTCGTAATAAGTTACGGGGGGCCATAATATATCAAATCGAAGATATTTCAGAGCTCTATACTCTCAAACTTTCAGCGGGGTCAGCTGACCACCCTGACCCCTGGCTCCGCCTAGTGGTGGACTCGGGCCGGTTACGGGTTGAGGGGGAGGGGTTGGGGGTTAAATAGAAGAGCCAAAAAAAAAAAAATAACCGGTTAGGCCCGGCCCGGCCCGGAACCGGAACCGCCCACCGGCGGTTCGGGCTCGGGCCCAACTTTCCTGGCCCGAGGCCCGGCCGGGCCCAGGCCCGAACCGGGCCCGAACCGGGCCCGAACCGGCCCGAGTCCGCCCCTGCTCCTAGGTCAATTACTTGTATTTCCTAAGAATAGGTCAGTTACTTTTACACTTCTGATCACTTATCCGATGCTCCTGTAGTTGACATGAGTCTCCTTCCCCGGGTCAACAACATTCAGGTTGTTGTGACCAACTCAATAGACTTTTTTAGCTATCAACCAATCCTTTTCGAATCACAAGACATCATAAGTTCAGGATTGGTGTTTAGTTTCTCAAATACTCTAACCTAAACCCTGTGATGAAACCAATGCCAAAGACCTGTTGAGCAGCCTAGGTCAAGGACAATAAGCTTGACCTACAAGTAACAAGTTGTCCTAGCCACCGTACAATAAGCAAACAAATCTCTGAAGGTCTAAAGGACTGTATTGCTTGTACAAATGGTCAATGTGCGTTAGTCGTACAACCAACCTCCACCAGATGCACTACAAACCAAGTGAGAGCCATGAACTAACTCTTCGTGAAAGACTTAAAAGCTCTCAACATATAACTAGTCGTAAACCACCAAATTGAAATAAAGGTCAATACACTCCATTTTAGTGCCGTCACGCTATTTCCTAATTGTAACTCTTAGTCTCTTACTGAGACTCATTGGATTCAGCATACCAATAAAAAGGGAAAGTGTATTTCTGTTGGTTCGGAACAAAGTAATGGTACTACAACATAACAGGTTAAGGAGGACACTTATGACAGGAATGTCAGTATAAAGTTATTCATCTCTACTTGAAGTCTACGCAATGGAATACAACTGCACTTGACTGAAGAAGATTGGAGACATTTCGTCATTATCAATACTGAAATCCACAATGAATGTTCCGTTACTTTTTTGTACAAATTTTGTGAGTCTTGCTTCAGAAAAGGAAAACTGATTTCGTCACTACAACAACTTCAGTCCACCCGTAACATCATCCACCATATCCGAGGGTCCTGCACACACAGAGACTTATTTTAAATGAAAAAAATGAACTACTGGAGAGATGGTTTGCATCCATCATGATAATGAACACAGCAGACAGTTGGGAGGGAAGATGGAAATTTGTGACAAGTTTGGAATGGGAAGTCTCCACTCTCCAGAACATATTTTTACTAAGAAACATACCAAGAATCGCCATCACTGTCCTTGAATCTGCAGATGGAAGAAAAGAATGATTACGGATTACCACCATTGTTAGACATAAATAAAAGATTACAAAGGTTAATCTCAATGAATGAGTGCAAAAGGAAGAACCTTCTAGCATTATTCTAAAGCTGAGCAGTGGCCCTATGAAACTATCAAAAAATGTTGAAATCTAGGCATACGTACACTAGTCCCACTAATTCAACAGTTGTGACTTGTGAAGTAAAGGTATTTAAGTTCAAGATTAAGCAAACCCCTTCACCCCTACTTGCAAAAAAGGTTATAACAACTTACTTGGTGCAATCTGTGTTCTCCCAGCATCAATGGTTATATGTGTTGGTAACTTAATTAATTTTGCCCTTTCCTGTTAAGAGAACAAATAACATAAGGAAAAACATAAGGAAAAAATGGCTAAAATACTTCTGACCGTTGATGGAAAGCCTCTCTATATTATACGTAGTATATACAAGCCCTTACTCTATAATATGTAGAGTCTATATACATGCAAAAATATTTTTAAGTAATAGATGTATAAAGCCGGAGGACAAACAAATGCCCCAAGAGAAATCATCTACACAGATCAACATCCGGATGGTAGCCACACTGATGGAAATTACTTACTTGTAAAACCAGCATATCATCTTCACTTTCAATTTTGACAACAACCTTAACCTGCCCACACATCTCCCACCTGCACCAATTAAAACTCAAAGTCATTTAAACTATTAAACTGTATATGAAAATATAATAATATATACTACATATATGATTACAAATTACAAATGCATAATTCTCTTCAACTGAAAGGTAATTGGCATTAAAAACACCTTTCCAGAGCTTTAGGAGCCCGATTACATAGCTTCTTGTAGAGACCCAAAGTTGCATGGCTGAATATAAATCAAGAACAGAGCAAGTCAGAATAGAGGGAAATATCACATAGATTATGAATACAATAAAAATGACTTTTTTATTTTAAATATTCATATTAAGATAAAAGGCTTGTGCTGTAAGCATACAGTGTACGCAGTAGAAGATTACAAGTAGCAGCAAAAACATCGGGAAAACAGGAAATGCATATTTGGTCACGTTATTACTTAATCAAATAACCTTTCACAAAACCTTAGTCCCACAAATCAGCTCAATGATGCAGTAAGAAAAGAGTAATCTCAGTAACCAGCGAAGATTCTCTAGAGAGCTCAATTCATAGACTTTAATAAATACCTGCATTGTGCAGCAATCTTTCCTTTCCCCATCTTTAAGTCATTTCTTACAACCAAAACCTGTGTAAAATGGAAATTTGTATGCTATAAACTTATGTTTAATCTTAGTCCGATCATCAAAAGAACACAACAACATCCAACTATCCAAGCCTTAGTCCCAAAAGATCATTAAAAATATACTCCCTCTATCTCTAAAAGGTTAGCCAACTTCACAGTTTGGCTATCCAAAAAAAACTATGCAAATTTCCCTTTAAAGAAACAAATTTGTAGACTTGTGGTTCACATTGTCTCTCTCTTCTGCATAAATCTCAAGTCTCAACCATATAATTTTCAATTCCTTGATACTTCTGTGGTTCTGCCCATCAAAGTTGCTAAATAAATTAGGGCGGATGATAGTAATAAATATAGCAATAACAAAGATGACACTGCAAAGAATATATAGAGACAACTTATATATTGATATAAAAAATTACACAGTACGAAGTAATACAATATTTTCACATTTCAATTTTTTTTACAAAAATTTCTTAAGCCAGGGAAATGAAATAAGAATTTTATAATATACTCTGTAACATTTTTGTATCAGTGACTCAGTAAGCCTTTTTATTTTATGCATATCAGTATTAAGAGCCCTTTTGGTAACCCTATTTTTCAGCTTATCAGACCTACCATCCAACTTTTTCACCAAACACGTAACTTTTGATTTCGCACACTGAATTGTGTAATAATAAGAAAAGGTAAGGTTGGAGTTACTTTTCTGACTGTATTGGCTGAAGTTACTATAGAGGATCATTTTAGCTATTTTACCATATAATTTTTTCTTTATTTTATTAATAAAATAAATTTAAAATATTTTTTTCATAAATCACCAAAATCAACCAATCCAACCACTTCAGCTAGAACTTCGCAAATTTCAGCAAAATCAACCAATAGAGCCAGGTTGGGTATTACCAAACGGCCTCTAAAAGTAAAATTATGTACACAAACACAATATAAACACTCCTCTCTATAACTAATAATCAAAACTTTGATTAAACTTTGACGGTTTACCAAAAAAAAACTTTGAATAAACATCGAACGTTTTAAACTAGAACTCTAACCAAATTTTTCTATACTCTGGCTCGAGCGGGATGTACAATGAATTTATAGAAAAAATTATAAGCATATATGCACTATGCCCCTAGTTCTGTAACTTAAAAAGATTTATACCATCTTGAAGTCCTTAAGAATGTCAGCGAGTTTATCAATCTCAAGAGGTTGTGCCACCTTTTTTTTCTTCCCATCAACAGCTATTTCAGCCTTTCCAGAAACTTTGCTTGAGAGAAAAAGGCTAGCAGAATGACGTGCACGAGTGATATACCCAATAGCAAAGCAGCCAGCTCCGAGCAAGATAGCACCAAGCCACGTCATGTCGAACATGGCCAAATTATTCTGAAAGGCTCCTTTTTTCTAAGAGATCAATACCAAAGAAATCAAGCCACTGTACAATTCGCCCTTCCTGGCACTAGTCAATCTTACCTAGAACAGATTTGTAAAAGAAAAATGTGAACCCTGAATTCGTGAAATCATGACCATTAAAAAATAACTTTTCTTAAATGAATACCCAATAGTTCAACATATAATGCTTCACCGGATACTCGAAATAGTAGGTCTAAGATATCCAACAGATACTCAAGCACTCCATATTCTAGCATATTAGGGATAAACACATGCATATTCGACATTTTGGTAGTTTCACACATTAACGAAATCAAGAATACACACATATAACACATGAAGAGAATATCTAAGGGAAAGATTGCGAATTTGAGCCTATAAATCTATCATCACTCAATTGCCACAGAAAGTTCAGTTATTCACATGTTCCCCACAAAGGTCGATGATGATGGGTGTGAGTGAAAGGAAAAGCAGTTATTTCCTAGAATCCTAGTATTTATGAAATATAAAACAAAAAAATTGAACTGCTAGAACACCAAATCGAAACTCATTTCTGCCAACTTCTAGAGGGGATTTAAAATACTGTAGAAATCTCCATAGAATTACCGTTTGACTGTAATCTAGCGACAGAGACACTGCATTGGCAAGTCAATTGGCAACACGGTTTTTCTCAGCTGTGGCGTGTGGGCTGTATGGCGTACTCTAGACTGAAGAAAGAGGAAGAAAATCAAAGACGGAACAACACATTCTCGTTCAAAACATGGGCCATTTTATTTTTTTGCGAACACAAGCAAATATAACTAGGCTTTATTTGGGCCTTTAAGAACATTTGAAAAAGGCTATTTACAGCTGCAACATTTCTAATTACTAATTAATTAAATGTAAGTATGTAACTACAAATTACATTTGTGATCAAATGTAATCTGAATCACAAATAGTTTGAGGACTTATTTGTTCTTTTCTCATTATGTTTTTTTTTGCAAAACTTTTCTCATTATTTTATAATCTCTATTTTACTCCTCCCTAGTATCCATCCATATCGACCGTTTCATCAAGCAACACGTCTTGAATCATATACTCCATATGAAGATGTTGAAGAATCTATGATACATCTGGATGGGATTGTGACTTTGTCTTTAAAAGTTGGTGTGTATTTGGTAACACCTGCTATATCTTTGTACTTATATTTCTCAACTTTGACCGGCCTTGCTCAGCTCCCTCTTCATAAATTTGCATATCAAAATCTCAAACAAGAGCAAAGACTAAAGAAAACGCAACATTGCCTATAGAATCATCTGGATGCTTTCAGTCAAGAGATATTCCTTGTAAGTTATGTTATCCTCTGGCCTGAAATGAATGAATTTTTTATTAATCTTTCGAACATTTTAGTTGCGAACCAGGTTAGACTTATTAGATTAATAGCTCATCTGGTTAATCTTGCCATTATTTTCTGTAAAAAGTTGTTATGTAACTATTGCATATTTGGACTGGTTGCCAATCGTTTCCAAAATCGAATTTCGTTTTTGGTCTATTGGTTTGTCTTCCTCAACGTCTCTATTGGCATGTCTCTTTGAACATTAATTTTTTATTGTGGTGTACTTTTTACTCTTAATTTATGCCAATACACAATTTTTCGATTCACTTTCTCAAGACTTTTGAAAATGAACTTATTTTAAATCCCTTAAGCATTTTTGTAAAATTAAATGTTTTAGTTTATTATCTATGTTTGATTAAGTGCAATTAGCTACTTGTTTTAATTCATGATCATTTATTTATTATGTTTGAAATAAAAAGTTAGCTAATATAAGCACAACCGGGTAAAATTTGGTACATATGTAATCAACTTTAGGTCTCATTTAGAGGCTGGATTGACCTGTGACAATACATCATAAAGAACTTATTTTTGTCTTACTCATTTCTTCCAAAAACAATATATTATGCTCCGTTATGTAATTATGTGAATGTTCATTTATCTCCAGACCTGTATAGGTTGACACAATTCAAGAATGTAACTCTTCCCCTATCCATCCTTGTATATATACTGCACATGTGAGTGAAAATGGGACGATTTTGATTTAGTTTACAACATCACGATTTACCTCTCTTTCTCAAGAATTGTTTCGTCTTTTATTTGGTTGTTACATCGCTAGCAAAGTGTTCTGTCTTCCTCTTGGGCCATTACATTCTATTGCTAATTAATCATTTAGAGAAACAACAATAGGCCGCACCTTAAATTAGAGCTTGATTGATCAGTCTTCTGGCGATTTCCCAGGCCAGGGACCCTTAGGTTGGAAGTTTTAGTACAGTGGTTATCGTGATTCCCCCGAGAATACTCAACCTATGTCTTGGTAACACCCCAGAAACAACCCACCCCAAATTGAGTGAAAATTTGACCCGACCCTGTGCCGTTGGTGGGTTCTGTCTGTGAAGCATTGGAAAATGGAAATACATATACTATTGATGCTTATGAATCTTATGATGACTATCTTGCCCGGTATTGTAAATTATAACACTCTTATTAACAGTTTTGTTATAAAAAAATAATATAAAAAGGGGCTATATTATTCAATAATTAAGCCAGATTCCCTTTTTATCAATTTATAAACTACATGAATTAGCATACCGTCTCTACTTTATATTCTTGTGTGTAAAGTATGATTGTGTGCCTCATTTGATGGTTTTAGAGGGGTTGCACAAAATACCATTAATTCACGTTGACGAGTAATCAGACCATATAGCTATATTTTACTGCGAAATATATTAGTTGGGACAAAAATTATATTTCTATGCCTTTTTTTAAAAAGATATAATATGGATATCTAGTACCCCTTACAAAATTATTTAAATTAATGTGTTATGTTTTGTGGTTAAATATTGGAAGAATATTATATTAGAGACCCCCATAATCTGTTAGTTTCAACTAAATATATTGTTCTTTATAGTGTTCAAACTTAAAAAGTGGTGTTCCTAAATCTATTGATTGTTTATTATATTATGGTTCTATATGAAATACCTATATATGAACCCCGTTTATTTTTAATATATATATATATATATATATATATATATATATATATATATATATATATATATGTATATATATATAATTGATCATTTAAAATATGTCGGAGTTGTTGGGAAATTGAGAGTATTTCAAATCAATGAAATACCATTTGAATAAGGTTTTAGAGTATTTGAAATGAATGAAATGTCATTTTTTAAGTTTTTCATAACTAGTTATTACTATTTAAGTATTTACTAAAAAAGAGAGTCATTTTTATCTTCTTTAATAACAACAATCATGAGTTTTTTAATGTCAATAAATGTATAATTTAAGAGCATTTTCAAGCTCAGCTTTTGAACGTACTAATGTTTCATTGTGGGGTCTTTACTACCACTACTAGCTATAATTATGTGTGTGTCTTGCTAAGGAATGTTTGCAATTGCTTCAACTTTAAAAAAGTGATTTTTTAAAGTGATTTTGGGAAAAGTGATTACTAGTAAAAGTTGTTAGTGTTTGGGAAAAAAGTGATTCTGAAAAAGTAAAAGTTGGTAGTGTTTGGTAAAATAAGTACTTTTTGTGTAATAGAAAAAGTGAGAAGCAGTTTAAAGCACTCTTCTACCTGCTTCCAACTTTTAGCTTTTAAGTGATTAATTTAAGCAGAAGCTGTCATTTGAAAACACTTTTTTCAACTTTTTTAAGTCAAAAACTAAAAAGCATTTTTTTAAAGCAATCCCAAACACTCCTTAAGCTAGGTACAAGTGGGCCGCTGCCTTGAGAGAAAAGGAAACATACTCCACGTTACTCCCTCCGTAACAAAAAATCTTCCCACTTTCCTTTTTCGTCCGTAACAAAAAAATCTTCTCATTTCTAAATCTTCCCATCATACCCTCAATAATTCTTAAAATAATACACTATTACAACTACTTTTTTTGATTTATCCTACATTCCACCATATTATTCCACTATTTTCTCATCATACCCTCAACAATTCATATCATCTTTCACTATTCTTAATTTACCTACTTTTGAAATGGGAAGATTTTAAAGTTATGGAGGGAGTATCAATATATACCACGTTAGAAATGGTACATTTCAATATCAGATTTAATCACTTTTCAGTACCGGACTTTTTATTTCCTAAAAACACAAGAACAATATGCAACTTAGAAGTTATGATCCTCATAAATATCATAAAGATGCTATATGCATGTTGGATATATTTTTGGTTTAGTAATATATTAAAGGGAAATTTACTAGGATATGACTAAAAGTCAATGAGTTTCCCAATCTATGATCTAACTAGTTCTTAACTTTTGTATGACCAAAAATCCAAAAACAAATAGAAAATTCGTTTATATTTAAATGTTGAATGATGAAAATACCCTTATTTAAAATATGTACATTTGCACTAATTTTGTCCAATTAAAATTACTGCACTTTATATTCTCATTATTGCACAACATTATTGCACGACATTACTGCACGACATTACTGCACATCCGGTAATAATCACTGCACTTCCGCCAATTTTAATTCTCTTCTTGTCCAAGTTATAAATTTATTTATAATTCTTTTCCACAAACCATTTGAATGTACAGATCGAGGCATCCACCCAGCGGCACTAATGAAGCATATCAGTACTACGATCGAATCCTCCACCGAAGCTCTGTCTGACCTCTTCTGGGCTTCCTCACCTTCGAAACTCAGGGCGGGACACACTTAACGAAAACCCTTACTCCACCCACCTCCACCTGCACGAAGAACATAGGTGAGAAGGAGACAAAGGTCACAGGGAATGATTTGCGGCGGTGGTAGGTGGCTGCACAGAGGGACGGCGGGGGCAGATGGTCGTGCGGCGGTCGCGGGAAGCAGGTGTGCATCTTGGGTGGCGAGATACTAGAGGCTAGGGTTGGAGAAAAAGGAGTAGGGGATTAGGGTTTTATAGGCATAATCTAAAGGGTATATTAGTCCATTAAAATTATTTATTTATTAATTAATTACGAAAATAATTGAATATTACCAATTTAAATATTATTTTGGGAAAAAAACTAGTTAGGTTATAGATTGAGAAAATGTGAGAGTTTTAGTCATAACTAGGGTAATTATCTCTATATTAAAAACTATCTTCTGAATTACTCTGTAACAATTTTCTAAAAGTTGTTTTGAACTCAGACTTTAAAGGACATTTTCAGTTTTAAGGAATTTAATTTTGGGTTATAGTTACTAAAATTGTTAAACTCTTCTCCCAAACTAGAATTTTCCTAAAGTTATTTTGAACTTGTTTATTATTCTCACGTAGAACTTATCTATCTCATATTTATCAGTTGATTATCATAGATTTGCCTTTCTAATACTATGTATTTATTTGGGTTAAGGTTATTGTGAAAAGTTATTCATGTTTATATGATACTACATGTGCATTAGTTATTGGAAAAAGCATTGGAAAGTACAGGTACGCTCTAATCTTTTCATTTATAATTTATATGGCCATTTGGGTACGCGCAATGAAATTACATATGTGTGTATATGGTTACTAGCTTGGCACGCGCGTTGCACGACGAACGATGCCCAATGATGGTAAAAATAAACGAGAAAGTTGCCCAATGATGTGTTAGTTACAATTCGGGCTTAGCAGTCACTTAAGTTCTTATTCCTATAAGATCAAGTTAATAAATGAGGATATA